CCATCCATTTGTTGATCAATAGGTCTCACAATTTCTCCCTGAAAATGTTGTAAGCCCCTATTTTAAATGACCTGCGTGTCATTTCGTGTATTCTTTCGAGATTGTTTTACTGCCGCACCATCCGGCCCTCGGGCCGAGAATTTGCTAATAAACGTTAACAGTTCTAGATGCCGTACGGGGCACGACGACATATTAGCCTGAAAATTCCCAAAAACCGTCGCAACCAAAACTCGATTTTGCGCCGAAAACATTTTGTTTTTCCTCTAATTTTTCATGCCCTTGACATGGAAAGACGTTTTTTTGACTTGTAGGAAGCCTTTTCAAATTCTTCACTCCTATAGCAGAGCTCCTATAGAGCACCTTCCCACTCCTAAGCCTAAGCCTAAGCATTCGCTCCAAATAAACAAATTTTTAATTACAGCCATCAATCTTTTGTCATTGAATGGTGCTCTTTTATCCTTCTGTTTAGGCCCATGCTTGTGTTGCATAAAAGGTTGGGACTGGATCAAGCATTCCCTGTGCGGTTGTGGCGCATGTGTCCGTTGTTCGGGCAAAATTGAGAAGCTGAATAGATGGTATTTCTGGTAGGTCTTCTTCGACGACGACATTTCTCCGGACAAAAATTCCCGCGCCGCGATCTCAAGCCGTTATTTTATTAATATAGCTTTATTTGAGGAAATTCATCGGATAATAATCCGGTGAATCCGAAACCTACTGTCCCAAATTTCAATCACAAATGTTCTAGCATTGACCCAATGCACGTGCGAAAAAGGAACGCTGATGACGCGATGCGACTATTTGAAAAACAACATTGGGAAGTGGTGAAACACATGATCGAAGGTAGTCTTTTAGGCGGACGGCCAGGTAAACAAACAGTTTTCAGAAGAAAATCTCTCGATTCTACTGAACCGCGACCAGGATCTGCAACTGACTCGGCTGTATATCGACCGAAGTCGAAAAATGCACCTCCGATACTCTATACCTGAAAAATGGTGGCTATCGATGATGGGGACGCAAATAAGGCGCATAATGGCGAACAATTCGTGAAGCTTGGCAAGGAAATACAATTAGCCCCGCCTGAGAAACCGAAGATACTTTATGTCAAGTGGAACCAGAGGAAGCGAGAAGGTTATGTACGCTTAAATAAGAATCAACGCCTCCTGGTTGAGCGCCTAAAAAGAAAAAGTCCGCAGGTCGAGTCCAGCGCCAGCACGCGACAAGGAAGTCGGCAAAACTTTGACTGTCAAGTATAGAGTTCATCTTCCCTTATGACATTCCTGGAAAGATGGGTCAATGCAATTGACAATAAGAATGTTCGAAGCGAATACAGACAGGACTTCCGGAGGTTGGAAGCCGTTCAGAAAAATTGATCTTCAAAAGCAGCGACCAGGATCCGAATGACAACGCGGTCGTGGCCGCGACACCGCCTCCTCAAGCATCTACGCCTCCCCCACGGAAAGCCGAGCTCGCATCAGAAAATAACTCGGGATCGTATGCGGCCGCCATATCCGACGCGCCGTTGGCCGATGAGGAAAGCACGAGCGATCTTTGATTAAACTTGGCCCAATACCATAATTGTTAGCTTTTGCTGATGAATAAACGCAGACATGGCAACGGGCCCGGCCCCCGGGCTTTTTCGGCCCCAAAAATTTGCATGCGGCCGGGCCGACGGGGCTCGACCCCGCTTCCAGCAGGGCCGGGCTCAGCTTTTCTCGCCGGCCCCGGGTTAAGCCAAAATGGGGCCGAGCCCGGGGCCGCAAGGCCGCACGCTAATCAGAAATGCCGGTTGTAAATCACTTTCGGTCAAAATATTCATGCCAATTGGAAAAATGATATTTTCAAAGGTTGCCATACCTCTCCATGTCTATTGCAGCCAGATCATAACGGGTTCAAACCCGTATTTTAGTTTCCGGGGCCGAGCCGAGTCGGCCGAGCCCGGCCCCGGAAAAATTCGGCCGGGCCCGGGCTCGGCCCGCATCTGCATCATTTTCCGGGGCCCGGAAGTGGGTGTTTTTTTATGTTAATTAGATTCCAGGCCCGGCCCCGGGGTTTGGCCGCCCGGAATTGCCATGTCTGAATAAATGTGAAATATCGAGATGAGACTTAAACGCGATTGATGCAAACAAAACAGCACGGCTACATTAAAAATTGCACAATTTGCAGTACTTTGGTTCCATGCGTTTGAGCAGTCAAGTGAGTATAGTTGCGTTTAGCAAAAAATCAATTTATTTACGCCAGCGCTTGAAGCGCTTCAGTCATTTGTATCAACTGCTCGTTATAAAGTCGGGAAGTAAAAAGATATTTCTCCAGGTAGCTTTCGAAATTGATGGCGGCGTTGACGACGGCTTGGTTCACTTTGTCCCCAGCTGCATAGTCTCCTCTTCTACTCACTGATGCCAATGCAAGTCGATGCGCATTGCTGAGGGCTTGGAAGTTATCTCGAATCATGTCGTGAATTCCATAGATATTTCTGGCTAATCCATCGTGATGTCCATCCAGGTGAGCACGAGTGTTGGCGGTGAGGTCGCTGAGTTCGGCAATGTAGAGAGGTTGAATCGCATGCTTCAGGTGCTGAAGGGCCGTGCAAGTTCCACAGCACCTCTCATCACAGTCCGCACATTGGAAACCGTACTCGATCGGATCCATCCTTTTACATCTTTGGCAAGGCCGAGCTGCTTGATTAGGGCTGAGTACAGGACGTCTTCCTCTTGGCAAAGGGACATCTTCAGAACCAGACCATCGATCCTGGATTTGACGAAGGGTTTGGACCAAGGTCTGGTTCTTTTTGGCCCGGAGTTCAGCACTGGACAGTGGCTCGATGGCGTGATCTGCGTGTTGCGTCACGGCGCAGAATCCACAGAGAGATGTCGAGCATCCTTGACAGTGGACCGTCTCCCCGAGCCAATCCTCGCGTGGGCAATTGGAGCATCGGCGCACGGAGTCGAGGCTTCGAAGACGGACAGCTTGTGTGAGGTCAGTGGTTACCTTAATTGAAATATTCTATTTGCTAAGGCCCATTGTAACGACTCTCGTGGAGAAAGAGATTTGGCGCGCGCACTCGGGGCATTTTCATACAAAAAAGATTTTCTTGGAAGCTTGTGAACATTTTCATGGTTTTTATGATTTAACTAGTTTGCAATAAACCTATAATTACTATAATTTATGATTAAAAATTACTATTGGGGGCAAGAGCTTACGTATCGGCGGGCAATAATTTTTCGAAAAACATATTTCCGAATTCCCCTTTTTACGAAGTGTTTCGAAACTCATTTTTGGAAAATAAGAATTTCGAAAAAATTGCACAGCGAAACCCATTGGGTGGCCTGTTAACCATTAATTATTGACGAGTAGTCTCGAAATTCGTACCTTTGCGTACGCTTCATAAAACTGCATCAGCTCCCCGCCAACCTCTGCTCGGGTACCATACCCACACTCCAGACAGCGACGTCGGCAGCCTTCACAGCTAATGTGGCCGCAGGAAAGTACGATCAGATGCTCCGTCCCCAGGCAGCTGCGACAGCTCAAAGGAAAGAATTTGCAGATCCAGAACCAGCTTCCGGTTTCTAGCTCGATTGGCGTAGAGGATAGGATCTCGGTGATGAATTCAGCTGTTTTGGCGGCAGGGGCCCCGCTGTATTGGACGCAGCGGGAGCATCGGATCGTACCATTTCTCAACATCATTGGGGTTCGGGATGCAGAGTTTCCTTTGCTGTACGGTAGCCAGCAACCGCTGCACGAGAGGAAGGGCAACTCATTGCCACGAGCGCCTCTGAAAGCGATTTTTGCTTTTTTTTGAAAAAAAACTAATGAAACATCGCTACCCGTTTGTACGTCGTACACTATTTTCGGTAAAAAAATCCTAAGGGCTATCGTATGAGACCGCCGGAAAATTGAGTAAAATTGAGAAAAATTAGAAATGGGCCTAGGCAAAGGCGGAGATTTTTGGGTCAATATAGACTTTTGTAGCGCTCGTGAATTACATGCGTGACGGGCTAGGACCTACAAGTTTATGTAAATCATAGAATCCTGGGTCGATTTTTGCAAATTAAAGAGCCAGGATTTTCGAAACCCCCTGAAGATACAAGTATTTACACCAGGATACGGCTGTTTACGCTGGCGCCCTAAAAATGCCAAAGCACGCACGCGCGCTGCGTCGCGACTTTCTATTGGCATGATAAGAAAAGGGTGGTTAGTCCGAAATCCTGTCCGAAATTTCGTTACGTTCGTTTTTGTGGTTTCTGCGCTGCATAGACGAGTAGCGGCAAGAATGCGGCCAAGAATCCAAGTACGATCGGAAGCTCCATGAGACAGGCGAGGGCGGATACTGGAATAGGCTGAAGATAAGGTTCGTTAGGAAAACGGAAATTCCTAAATTTTGAGAATGGTTCTGTAGAAGGTCCTCAAAGTTGGACTGGTACATTTCATAACCCTCGCGTCAATAACATTGCGGCCAGATGTTTTTCGCGGACGCATTAATATCGAATCAGCGCACTAATAAATGGCGGGAAATGAATTTAAAAGCCGTCCATTAAATTCCTTTTGACCCTAAAAAGTCAGATGTGCTTCCAAAATTGTCAATAAATAGAAATTTTGCCGTTTAGGTGCGCTCCATAATTAGCAATTAATTCATTAAATTTAAAAAAACTTACTCATAACTGCGTTGTGCTGCTGGAACAGCCAAACTAGCAATATTTAATAGGCCAGAATATTTGTTTAATTCTTCAAAAATACGTTGTAACCAGCGGTCAAGGATTGATTACGCGATTTATTGCGGCGGGAAATGTGTTCTCTTTTCCAAGATAGTGGAAGGGAGAGAGAGAAAAGCGGGAAGCGGTGGGCAAGTCGCCGCTTTTTTGCGGGGCAGTGTTGACTAACTGATTCCACGTGTTGTTGTGTGACGCGAAGAGGGCCAGCTTTTACGCGGAAAGAGGAGCATATGAAATGAAGTTTGTAAAATCTCGGTTTGATAGTGGGCCTTTTAACGTATATTGAGCAGCAGAGATATTAAAAGGTCATAAAGGGATGCCATTTATAAATTGAATTGTTAGTATAGCAAATATCAGCTTGCAGGAATACACAGTATCCCGTAGAGGATTTTTTTCAGATCCACAGAAAGCGTCTACAGCTTCTGAAGCTCCAAACCCACAGCTATCATAAAACTTTCCCGTTTAAGCGTAAAGTCTCGTACTCAAACGTCATACTACGATATGTAAATTAAATTTAAGAATTTTATTTTAGGTCCACATCCGGCGTATCCGGCTTCTGCAGCTCGAAATCTTTTCTAAAACCCACGAGTTTTAAGCGTACAGTTTCGTACTGGTACGTAGCATTGCTGGTACTGTAATTAACTTTATTTTTTATCAGATCTGTGTTTTCTCCGGCTTTTGAAGCTTCAAGTAAAGCCTAAGCACCCTGTCAAGCGTACAGTCTCGTAGTCGTATGTATTCCCACCTCCACAAATGGTGTGCGACGAGCTGGTGCTCGAAGTGCCGGGGGCTTAGGGATTGAGGGCAGCTGTGGGGATGAATGGACAAGAAGGGAGAGCGATCAAATCCATCCTGAAATTCGACTCGCTCCAACCTGACGCCCCATGCTAGGTGAAAAGTCCCCTACGGTTTACACTCTTCCGCTCATTTGCATATTTTACATATACGCTTTTAAGGGTCCAATTTAAAAATTCAAGGCTGTTTCAGCGCCTTTTAAACGGCTGAACAATTGTAATATTGGGTTTTTCAACTTTCAAATCATTTTTTCTGTTTCGCAAAACGTCTGAATACTTTTTTGAGGCATACTGTAGCTCCCGATTTAGCTAGCGTAATGACTTCGGAACCCGGAAACCCCCGTACTTCGATCATCTCGGTCACGCTGGACCCGAGGCAGCGGATGAGCGAGATGGAATTCTCATCCAAATCTTCGTCTACTGAAATGTCGATACCACCAAGGTATGCGGTTATTCTATTTAAAAATGTTCTAAAAATACTCTTAAAATCCAATGTAATAATATTAGGCTGGACCATAAGTTCGTGCAATTTTTCGAACTCAAAATTTTTAGGGAAACTTCCATGCGTTCATTCTAGTTTTTTGCTACGATGAAGGCACACGCTTCGTCGTGCCTGAGCGCAAGTAAAAACCACTAACTCCCAAAAAATTTTTAATTAAGTCGCCAAGAGGCTGGGTAACTCGAGTTTCGGGGTTTTTTGATTCCGTGAAGGATATCTGCTGCCATTATGAAGTCTGACTTGCTAAATCAGTGGCATTAGATAGAAAGAAGTTCGGGCAATGCAATGTAGTCAACAAAATTTCAATCGCTTGCTTCATTATTTTTTTGCAAATCATTTTTGTAAGATGCCAATTTTGGTTTTCGGGCTCGGAAATGACAAATCCTTTCGCCCGGCGTTTTCTCTGAATCTAGTGGCTAACTTTTTGCGTGGATTTTAACCAAATGGAGCTTGGTTGTTACTACTTCTAGACCGTAGATTACATATGCACCAATATTCCATAGCGGGTCCAGGACGGACCATAATCCTCCATTTGGTACGCTTTTTATTTTTATTTTTTTTCATCCCGAAACATTGGGCTTGTGGGTTTGGGAATTTTCATGTAATATCCGCTGCCGATGCCAAATGTCACTGTAGAATATGCAAAATTTGATTGGCACGCGTTGACGAGTAGCAAGCGAAAAATTGTGGCGCCTCCACATCTCAGGGTCGACTATTTGGTAATCCACGAATTCGCAAAATTTGGCCAGTTAGAAAAGGCAAGGAAAATATTCGCTATCCATAAAATGTTTGTCATTATAGACTGCACATAATAAGCTAAGCAGTTTAATTCTGGTTGCCCCCCATAAATTCTTGCTAGCGTTTTGGGTGGAACGATTCAGGATCGAGGTTTTGAATCAAACTAACGAGAATAACGAAGGCGATAGCTAATTGGGCACCATAGCTAAAAAGGTCTTATACTGGCATTACATTTGACGAATTACGGCTGGGGGGATTATGGCATCAACAATTTTTCTAGGGCTAGAAGGTGGCAAGGATCTCTGATGTCGCCGCAGGTGCTTCAAGGATAACTAGTTATAAAAAAGCTGTCGGAAGCAGGATCAATTTGTTCTTTTGAGGGAATGTAGTAGCGCTGTAGAGTAAACCAGGGATGCTCAAAACCGACCGGTTAGCTGGCGTAATTATTTTGAAAAAGTCGAATGTACGGACTTTCGGTCCAACCTAATACTTTAAAACCAGGTTAAAGATCCAAAAGAGGTATTAAAATATTTTATTGTCGAATTTCTTCCTATTATATTTTTACACCCGCATTAAATTATACCCAAAATTGAAAAACATAAAATATTGGTGAGATCAATAGAATTTCTCCACATCCTGCCTCTCCTTCGAGTCCCATTTCCCAAAATCTTCCTTGTTTAGCACGGCGGTCCACGGCGAATTTCTCGGCGACGATTTCTTTGGTCCATGTTTTGTTGTATTCTTGCTAGAAAGAAACATAAAATTAATTTTAATAAAGTAAAAACTATTTAACGAAAGTAAATGTAAAATTTTGGTAAATTCAAAGTTAAATGACCTCAATAACCTCTTCGGCTCGGCAGGGCACATAGAAAATGTGTCCATGTAGCTCGGCGGAGCAGGTTTCTTCGAATAGCTCCCTAAATAATTTTTCGGGTCTGTGATTTGGTTAATTTACGTGATTAAACTAAATAGCTTATCTTCAGAAAAATTAATTTTAATAGTTAAATTATCCCACCTTGGATACACGAATCGAACTCGTTTCAAATTTCCATGTTGTGAGGTTATGTAAGTAATATTCTTGTCATCGTAGAGGAAGAATAAATCGACAGTAAAGCCCTCAATCTTGTGCTTTAGTGTGAATTCGAGGCTGTCCGGGAGCTGAAAAGGGTATTTTTGCGCGCTTTTACGTTTGCGCTGCTTTTGTGCCAGATAAACTTGTCTTCTAGAGATGTATCCTGAAGAATATCTGCTAGTCTGCCTATCCCACAAAACGCCTTCTCAAAGAATCTCTGCTAGCTTGCCTCAACCGTGCAGGGTGGCTTTCAAACAAGCACCGCTCGCTAACCACCACACGCTAGAGGAATCCCAAAAGATCTCTGCTAGCTTGCCTCTGCTTCTAGCCGTTTTAGAAGTGTTCCCAAAGAAACTCTGCTCGCTGGCCTACCTTAGAAGCCATTCCGAAATGATCTCTGCTATTTGGCCACCTGATTTCAAAATACTTTTACCGAACTCTGCCGGCGCCCTCGAGTTTTCAAAACCTTTAATAATTTTTGATGTTTATAGACTGGAGGAATCCCCATGCAGATACGCTAGACTCTCTAGACCAAAATTTGGCGGACCAAGATTTCCCCCGCTCCGTCCTCGCAATCTTTGCCCGGCTGTATCAACACCGACAGGCTAGAATCTGCTATTTGCCCATTGCCCGAATTGGCCTTTAGTCTCGAGAAAAATGCGAAATTTTTCAATTTAAAGGGCAGTCAATTAAAGGCCAACTTTTAAACAGCTTGACAGTGCTAGAAAATTTCTTACTTTTCCCAGCCGTCTCGTCAGCTGGAACGGATAAATATTAGTTCCGTTTTCGAGGTACGGCCAAAATTCGGGGTGAAATTCGGAGACTCTAAATGCTGAATTAGATCCTTGTCTCTCTTGTTCTCTCTCTCTCTCTCTCTCTCTCTCTTTCACTCTTACCGTATTGCAAAATCCATATCATTGGTGGATGGTAATATTGTACATTCTCGATACCAACCTAAAATCAGATAAAAATACTTAAGATACTCTTATTACCTAGTAACGATCCAAAAATCAGCATTGGATTCATCCCAAATTTTTGCATTTTCCGCTGCAACTCCCAAATCTCGGGGATCCGGGATTTTGAAATGGTGCGGCCTCTGGCTAAAAGAAAAATGAGAGAGAGAGAAAGAGAGAGAGAGAGAGAGAGAGAGAGAGAGAGAGAGAGAGAGAGAGAGAGAAAGAACGAGAAACAACTGGCCTACTTTCATAATAAAGCCGGAGCGTCTCATTTTTAGAACCGATTGATCGATGCATATCTGCAAATTTGCATAAGTTTTCAACAGTTTTAAGTAAATTTAAATAGACTTATATGTTTTAAATGTTATAAACACTACTATAATTCTTGCACTTCACAACTTTGGACATGTTCCAGAATCTCAAAAATTCGGGAATATTTTTTGGGACCATCAATGCCTCAGTGGGATGCTTTTCAAATTCAATGAACCTAAAAAAAACATAGGATTAAAAGTTATAATGTAAATTCCTGGACTTACCTAGGTAATAATCTCTCTCCAAGCGCGAATTCTATATAATTTTCGCTGGTGATGTTCGAGAAGTGGACATATGTATTTTTATAGGGATTGGCTAGAAATTGTGAGTTTTTAAAGGACAGGTGAAGGCATACACATTCTTCGAATTGGGCAGGATTCATCGTAGGCCAGCCATAGGTGGCTCTGGTTTAATCGAATGTTGTTGGATTTGAGGGCTTTTTCATCTAAAATATGTATTAAGATCGATAGCGAGCGAAAAAGAAAAAGAGAGGGGAAGAGAGAGAGAGAGAGAGAGAGAGAGAGAGAGAGAGAGAGAGATAGAGAAACATAGAAAGCAATAAATCTATAAAACCTGCGGGTCGTTCCATTAAAATTCTGATGTCACACCGCCTTTAAAGGAACGTGCAAGGCTGGTTTATGGATTTTCTTTCGTTCTGGATTCCGTATGTATTTTGTCGCACACGCGACGCGCAAGGCGCACCACGGCTTTGCATGGCATAACGGGTTACGATCCCGACATATGGACCAAGCGCAGCGTCCGCGTTGCGTGCCGCGGAGCGGTAAATCCATAAACAATAGATACAGCAAAAAATCCACCTCTACGTCTTACCAATCCCTTTAAAAACGAAATTCATTGATTTTCTAGTCCCTTTAAAACCCATCTAAGCCGCGAACGTTGAATTCCCATAAATAAGAAATTCCAAACCCACCTATCAACAGCGGATACGGACATATACGATCTTTCAAACTCTGCTCCGTCTCTGGCGTTGGTGTCGTTTTTTCAAAAGCCACGAATATTTCTGGGGAATACACCATTAAGTATCCAAACACAGCCATAGCAATTATAATTAAAAATAAGAATATCTTCATAGCACGCCCCCTTCATCCTCCTAAAACGAGCCATAATTGAGACCAGGTGAAAGGAGAAAATAGGTGTGGAAGGGCGGAGCCAAGAAAAAAATATTGAGCAGAGCAAATATTTGATGGACAACTGGCGTGGGAGGCTATGGAATCCATTATTTTTATAGCGTGGAATCCAGGAAAAAGCAATTTGTATCGAAAAGCCATAAAACAAAAAAAGGGAACACGATGGATGGTTTTTCTTACTTTGGGTTCGGGAAAATATTTTGGCAAAGAAGTACTTGAAATTTTTTTGGATTTATGCTCATAAAGTAGATGCGGCGAAAAGAATAAAAATTCTAAGCTCGCAAAGGTATTTAATTCTCCATCAGTTTTGAAGGTAACCTAACTCTTTTTACTCTCTTACTCTCTTTTTTAAAGTTATTCCCCCCCCCCTTTTCTCTCCCTCTCTTTCCCTCTCTCTCTCTCTTTCTCTCTCTCTCTCCCTCTCTCTCCCCCTCTCTCTCACTCTCTCTCTCTCGGGGTCTCTCTCATTTTTCTATCACATGCGATACCAAGGTTTGGCTTTTCTGGAAAATTAGAATTTTTCAAGAACAATTGGAACAATAGATGAAATTCGGAGCCAGAAAAGCGCCAGCAGTGAGTAGCCTTTGCTTTTCATCGCGTCTTGATAAAAATGGAACGCTTAGAAAGACTGAAACTATACAAAACGAGGCTCCTATTAGCCTTTTTCTGAACAAAAAGACCTGCGAAAAATGAGCCTGAAAAATGAGTTCCCCCGGGGGTAAATCCGATGAAACCGCCCGCAAAGCCAGGCATTTTTTCGCAGTTTAATGCCGAGCAAAACACACATGTAATCAAATGTCCATGATGAATCAAAGACCGTGTCTATTTGTGATGCTATAAATCGAAGTGGAGAAGGAGAAACCAAATTTCGTACGCAGCCGGGGCATTCTGATAAGGTGGGTACAGGGGAAGAGCATGACATATCGCTGGATTATGCCGAGGGTGTGGTCCAAAGGGCTCGGGAATTCACTGATTACGTCCAAACGGAAGCTAAAAGGACTACCCAATAATACATTTTCAAAATTTTCGACATTTGAGTCCGGATATGTCAATTGAAAAGAGAGACAGCGAGGAAGCGGGAGAGCAAGATGGGGGGAGAGTGAGGGAGATTGAGAGAGAGAGAGCGTGAGTGGGAGAGTGGGAGTGTGAGTGTTTGAGTAAGCGAGTGAGTGAGAGACAGAAAGGGCGGGCGAGAGAGAGAAAGAGAGAGGAAGGGAAGAGAGAGAGAGATAGAGAGAGAGAGAGAGAGAGAGAGAGAGAGAGAGAGAGAGGCAGACCGAAAAACCTCACTGATGAGCGCCAATCCCGGAGGGCGAAATCAGCGAAGTTAATCTTTAAAAAAAAACTACGTTTTCATCGGTTAAAAATAATTTCTTTAATCGGTGAAAATTTACAAAAATTGGTGTGTTTTTCAGACCTCCAACCCCAGAAATCGCCCTCGCAGTTGTCGATTTCCTGCCGAGACCCACCGAACTACTAGTGACATCTGGATCGAGAAGGCTACCATTTAGAGAATTGCCGCCAGGTTTATGACCATACAAAAAATCCAAAAAAATTTTAGTACCCGAAGAACTCTCCCTGAGCTACGGCTCCTATCGACAGTCCGTCTTCGACCCCGTACTACTTGTCGGGGAAGAGCGAATGAACACCGAATCGAGCTGCCCCCCTACTCCCTCGGAAGATTACCATGAGGAAGTGGTATCTAAAAAGTCGAGCCAACCATACCCGCATTATCCGATGGATCCGACTGCCTAGTGAGTAATTTTGAATACTACTTAAATCCACAGCACCTGGCGAATTCAAACAACCAGACCCGCTTAATTCAAGAGCGTCAAATTTCCCGAAAATCAATTGTTTGGGTTTTTTTAGCATGTCATCAAGCAGCAACACGATACGCTTTACGGAGAGTGGTAAGTATCTTGTTCTTGCGGCAAAATATGTTAATGTGCATATCCTAACAGGGAAATAATCTTCAAGCTCTTTTTGTAAGAGTTTTGCGCTAATTCTCGGAAAAGTTAGTTTGCGAAAGTTATCACGAATTAAAGGCACTTGGGTAACTCAGCCGCAATTCCTGGGTTGATCGGCTGGCTGCAATGACGACACCGTGGCGGCGTACATAGGAGCGTCGCGTGAAGGGGGACCCGGGCGGCCCTCCCTCCCGCCCCCCCCCCTGGGGGGGCGGGGGTTGTGGGGGGGGGGCCGGGGCGGGCTTCCCCGCGGGGCGGGGCCCCCCCCGATGCAAACTCTTTACCTTGACGGAAAATCATCTTTTCAAGGCCTTTTAAGGCCATGGGGGAACACTCATAACGGGCGGGGTAACGGAGAAGGGGGGGGGGGAGGGGAGGTTGCGAGCAGGCCTCGGGTTTCGGGGGGGGGCCCCTGGGTCTCCCCCCCCTCCGCGGTCTGTGGGGAACTACATGTTGCAGGTCAAAACTTAAGTACGCTAATTCACCTTTCCTACAAGTTTGCCAAAAAAAACTTGGGAAGTAATGAATTTCGACAAACAATTATCGACAAAATTCAAAATAAATAAAATAAAAACTAAGGAAATAAAATTTTGACATGGTGTAGGACCCTGGCCACTCCATCTACTACAAAATCCATGGTCATGCGTTGCCCGTCCCCTTTCAAGCCCCTGAATTTCCAGGCATGTCCCACTTCCTCAAGTTCGACCTCCCCTCTGTGTGCTCTGTGGTGGAAGCGGGCACCCTCGTCATTCTAATCCTTTTCAGTTTCATCCTCATGTTTATCATCTACTACTTCGGTTTTGTTCAGAATTTATTCGACAATTAAATTGATGAAATGAGTTAATGGGGGGATGCAAATAAATATACAAAAAGAACAATGTAAAAAATACACAAAAATACACAAATTGCGAATCCTGAGTTTGACAAGTGGAGGTAGTTGTCCCAGACGAGTTTTTGAGATTGTTCAAAGTCACAAAAAATTAATGATTAGCATAAACCCCTGAGGAGTCTTGAGAAGAAGCGCGGAAAAATATACATATAGCAAAAGTAAAAATACAGCAATCAGGGGTACGGTAATATTCAAGAGGAAAACTCGAGGGGACGCACACGCACGGTTTTTGAGATTTCTGGGGGCGCATTAATGGGAGGTGGGGGTTAGGCGACGACAATTATTGGGCATTCAGAGGGACCAGTAATGGCAAAGAAAGGATTTCCAAGACAAAAAATGAAATTAGAAGAATTAAAGGGTCAGTGACAGGCAAGGGAAACGAAAAATCAAGGAAAAATTGTCGAATCGATTTTGCTGAGTGAAAATGAGTTAAATGACACATTTGAATTTGAATTTTGCAATATGAATTTTTGAGACAATGAAAGATTTGAGGTTCAACTAGATTCAGCGATCACAAATGGGGTATATTTACAGTAGGAAAGTCCTAACAAAAAAAATTGACAATTCGTTTTAAAGGGCTTGTGAAGTCAAATCCAGCAGAATCTTTGAGTTGCCAGAACCTTTAAAATCTAAACTTTCGA